AAAAGGCGATGACAAACACAAAAAATTAAAATAAAGGGTTTATATTATATACCAACCTGACATTACCTGACACCTGTACACGGACTGCTATGGTTTAAATACATCTACAGTCTACATGATTTTCGTATAGCCGCCTAGGTACGAAATTAAAATACGGATAAACACGGAGTGAGGGGGGTATACTATACTACTGACCTTATATAAATATAAAAATAATTTTTAAAGAAATAATGGTTAGGTGATTACCACATGACACAACACAAAGTAGAAACCTCATCTACATCTGTATCGAATACGGTAATCGAATTCGAAAAAAAAAACATTATAATATATTATATTATTATTATATTTTTGACAAAAGTACAAAACAATATTATACTATAAAAAAATATTTATAATAGTATTATAATCTGATATGAAAATAGTTTCGGCCTTTCGGGTGGACCACTGATAAAGCCATATATATTTATATAACATGAATAGGTACTTGGTAAGTGCAGCATGCGCTGTATATTATATTATTTTGTCAAAATTATTACATGTCTTATACAGGACGTCACACCCGCATGTGTTGTCTCCGTCTTACACACGTATGGCTTGGGACATTTTCGTTCGCTAGTTTCCATGAGGTGCTGCCAGTTTTGATATTTGAGTGAATTGACCTATTATCAAACCTTTAGGTAACAACATTATCTGTGTTCTCTAGTTGGTTTCTTACGTTATTTGAATTTTTAAGTGAGTTATGAGCATTTTCAAACATTAATATTTTACATACTGATACAGGGGCGCCCGCAGAGAGGGGCCAGTAGGTGCCATTGCACCCACTGGGATTTTTTTAATGAACCAAAAAATTATTGTATTATAAATTATAATGTAAATTATGTGACTTCCTATATATGTATAACATAAATTTAATTTTGCACCCACTGAGCTGATTTTCTGCGGGCGCCCCTGTACTGATAACTCACTTAAAAATTAAAATATCCTAAAAACCCAACGAGAGAACACAGATAATGTTGTTAGTTGTTATCTAAAAGTTTAATAATAGGTCAATTCACTCTAATATCAAAAATGACAGCACCCTATTGAAACTAGCGAACGAAAATTTGCTACGTCGCGGTCGTATACGTGTGTAAGACGAAGACAACACATGACCACTGACCATTTCACGAAAATGTAGCCATATATTCTCGAAATTGATAAATTTAGTATCCATTTTATAAACATAAAACGTTATAAAACGTTATGGATCGAACTTCATGAAATAGATATCTATTCCGAACTACCTATCGGATATCATGAAAAATTTAACTACGAGGATGCTACAAATTGACTCTATACACTAAATTACTATACATTGGTACGTCTCAAATAGTGGACTAACCCTCAGAAAATTAATTTAAAATGTTTAACATTTTAAGGTTATAAAAATTAAAAGTTATTAGGTACCTACTTCTATAAATATTCCTATTTTCTTAACAATTGTGTAACATATTACATTTATTATAATTTATAGTAGGCTGATATAGCCATAGGACAGAAATATCAAATTATTGTCTACCAAAAAATGGACTGCCTCTCAGACATTGTTATTTTTAAGAGGACGTCACACCCACATGTGACATGTGTTGTCTCTGTCTTACAAATGTACAACATAGCAAAAACTGTTTTGCGCGGGACAACTTTTATCTTTGCTTATAGAAGGGGCTCCAAAATTGCTGAACATATAGACTAGAAAATTGTCTATAAAACATCGTGCCTATATTTTAGCTAATATGAATACAATAAAAGTTATTTGCTTCTAAACTTTTGTTTTTTTGTTTATCTTCATTTGCTTATAAAAAGTGATTGGATAGTGCTATTAAAAAAAAAAAACTATACTGTTGCACAGATAAAGTTCTTCTCTAGGCGTTGTGAAAATTTGGTAGTTCTACAACAAATATGTTGCGAGAAAAGTTGTCCCACGCAAAACAGTTTTTGCTATGTTGTATATTTGTAAGACGGAGACAACACATAACGGGTGTGACGTAATCTTAAGGGGATTGGAAGCGGCGATTTTCTGTCTTTGTCTAACACACGTGCAACATAGGATTATATACGTGACCTATTTCCAATGTACCGATTAATCTAATGAAAAGATAAGAATTCTGATTTGAATTCTGACAGATTTGAATTTGTCGTCAAGTCTTCTTGAGACCGATTTTCCCACATTTTTGATATTATTCCCCCAAAATCATAAAAAAGAGTAATTAAAAAATTTACATATTTCAATTTTTGGAGAAGTTTAAACAAAAAAGGTGGTCCAGTGGATGTCGCTCTGCTGTACAGTAGGTTACAAGTGGGTCACTGTTTAATGGATGGTATTCAATTTTAATTCAATGATATATAAATATTAATATCATTGCATAAGAAAAACGTTTCTGATCGGAGACGGTATGTCAGTCTAGGTATAAGACATATTATATACTTGTCTATGGTATTAAAAAAAAAATTTTCCTATAATAGGTACCTATAATAAATTCGAAATTAATCATATCACAATATCCATTAGGATTAGGTACTTATAACGCGTTATACACCATCAACAAACCGTGATACATTGGTACATTTGGTAACTTTGAGTGCAATGTGTATCAATTTAAATACACAAGTACACAACTAATAGTTTATTTGTGCTCTGTGTATTGATAATGATACACACTACACAGTACACTGTTATATGATACGTGATATGGACAGTAAATGTCCCGGTCAGAATGGTCAGTTTTGTCATTTTTGGCCAAAAGTGTTAAAATAAATTTTAAAAAATTGGAACATTTAGTTGGTAAAGACGAAAAAAAAATTTAAAAAAAAACACACACACATCATTGTAAGATCAATACATTCATCGTTCCACTCAGAATCTAAAATGTACTAGATTTTTGATATTTTAATATATTATACCAATTATTCACAAATAATAAAAAATGCAAAACGATTTTATGGATTTTGAATATGAAATAATGAAATATCTAAAATCGAGTCCTCTAATTTTATATAAAACATACATAACAACCCCTTCAAAAAAATTTAAACATTATTTCTATATAATATAATATATTATTTATTGTGTTAAAAATATAAGAATTTATGAAAATTAAAACTTATCTCCTAAAATAATTTAGTGTATTATGCCGGGTTTACACCATCCGACAAAACAGCAATTTTCTGTCTCGCGACAAATCAGAGACAAATTAATGGAAACATTTCCGCGACACTGCAATGATGTTCGTGTTTCTAGAGACATTTCTGTGTCCAAAAGCGATAAATATCAAAGCTAACCTAACCTAATATAATATAATTTGTTATAAAATATAGATCGTATAATATTATATTATATTATTCAAGGCTGGGCAAGTTAATGCTTTTTTTTAACTCGTTAAGTTACGTTATTTTGAAATAATTAAGTTAAGTTAAGTTAAAAGTTACTCGTATTTTTTATCGTTAACTCGTTAAGTTAAAAGTTAACTTTGAAAAAAAAGTAACTTAACTTAGTGTAAAGTTAAAATTTGCTAATTTGCAAAAATAGAAAATACCAGACACATAATGTGGTTTATTAGATAGTTTTTCTTTACGTCTAAGAAAATTACTGGGGAAATTTAAAATGATACATCAAAGTAAAAACACATTAAAAAATTTACATTATTCTTCAGAAGAAAATTAACTAAATTTGGATATTTTTGAAATAAAATTAACTTGAAACTAACACGTTAATCTTGAAAAAAAAAGTAACGAGTTAATTAACTTAATTAAAATTAACTTAATTTTAATATTTAACTCGTTAATGCCCAGCCTTGATATTATTATAATACTATAACTATACTTAAAACTTTTATAGTTTTATCAATTCTAATATTTTAATTTTAAGGAGAAAATATTAAACCGAAAGGAATTTTGTAAATGTGCAAACATTACTAGGTAAGTACATTTAACAGATAAATATAGTTTTGTTAACTTACTATTAATAATAATTTAATATCACAACATTTTCATTCATTTCCTGTTTAGCTTTAGTGTACATCTCTTGCTCGATTCAATACTTTGGTAATTCTTATAAGTTACAACCATCTTGTCATTTAGACAATCATCTTTTTGACATCCCCTAAGGAGATATAGGTAGCAAGTTTCTCTTCAATATCTCGCAGTACAACTACCACTTGGTCTTGATTAAAATATCTTGGTTCAAATTATGAAGATTTAATTGATTATGTAAACTTATAATACTCAACTACAAAAACTGTACCATAACTACTGTCCACCTAATGCTCGACTATCAGCAAATAGCGACAAATGTATTGCATTTATTGAACAATTATAACAATGTCTTAAAGGAAACACTAAAATATTTACCCTGTTATGAACAATATGTTGGATTATGGGTGAGAAAGAGCAATAATTTTGTCGCCATCTACCAGTTGTCCAAACAAACAAGTCTATAATATAATAGGTTGCAGTATTACAATACATGGGTATAATAATTAAGAGGGCATAATAGTGGCCAAACTATGGTATAAAAACAAGGTTTCGTAATTCAAGTAATACGGTTTGAAGCATTCACAATAAAAATACATGTAATAAAATTGTAGAGAATTTTTTGAACAATCATAAGAAGCTCAATTTTTGATATTTGTATTAATTAATTAAATAATTAATCGATAAAAAGAAAATTCTTGTTAATTTTTAATTTACCATGAAATATTGGACGATTGGAGTACAATATTGAAAACCAGGCTTTTTACGGTTGTTAAAAAAATTCTCCTATACAATTTTTATAAAATGTATTTTTACTGTTAACCTTTTCAATAAGCCGTAATACTTGAATTACCAAACCATGTTTTACGATAAAAAATGTTTGATTACAAAAACAATTTACAAATGGTGGTATTGTATTTATTCATGAACATAAGTGTTTTAATCATAAAAGCAAAAAATATTCAGTTTCATTTAGCGAACATCTTAATTTAATAACTGCGGCCAAATAGGGTGAAAGATCCAGCTGGCTGCCCACATTCTGGATGTATACACTGGTCATTGGATTTCAATATATCTGCCCCCTTGGGCTGTTCAAATGGCACACATAACGACTTTGCTCCCATTGTCGAAGCTCCAACATCCGCAGTACCATCATCCCTACGAAATAATTAATACAAAAAGATTAAATTATAGTAAACCATAAACTAACGAGTGTATAATATTTTCATACAATGTGGTATCCCGTTTGATGTTATCCTCGCAAATAGGACGTCCACAAAACGGTATCAATAATAAATGTTTTGCTGCTAACTGCGCAGCACACTCTGACCATTTACGACATATCACAACATTTTCTTTCATTTCCTGCTCTGCTTTATTATACATATCTTGTTGTATTTGATTCAATAACTCGGTTATTCTTATGACCATCTTATCGTTTTCACCATCATTTGGACGTCCCTCTAAGGGAATAGTTAGTTTATCTCCATTATCTCGCCGCACAGCTACCATTTGGTTACGATCCAAATCTTTTGGTCCAATTTCTAACCTCAGTGGAACCCCCTAAAAATCAAATTTTACAATAACAACAATTTTAGATCAAACATAATTTAAAAATTAATAAATAAATACCTTCAACTCCCAGTGGTTGAACTTCCATCCAGGTGAATAATTATCTCGCAAGTCGGTATCCGCTCTTATCACTAAGGAAGAATTACGATGTTGGATAACACTATTGTCATTTTCATCATCAGTTTCAATTAGACTATCTCCTTTTAATCTGTTGCATACATCTAAACAAGTTCTAGTCAAATTATCTTTGACTTCGTTTGCTGTGCTAACTCCTACACCACATGGTACAATAATTACCTAAATTGAAATGTAATATGTTTAACAAAACAGCAACCAATAGCTTATTTGAAATTAATGATCAATTATTGAGAATTGTATAATATTTACTTGAATAGATGCTACGCGTGGAGGTAAAACCAGCCCACGGTCATCACCATGAACCATTACCATAACACCAATAGTTCTAGTTGTCATTCCAAATGAAATCTGATGAACAAATGATTTCTCGTGTGTGTCTGGATGTTCAAAATGAACATCAAACATTTTAGCAAAATTGGTACCCAGATAATGTGAGGTGGCACCTTGAATTGCACGACCGCTAGATGCTACATATGCTTCACAAGTAGTAGTAAATATTCCTCCAGCAAACTTTTCTTTTTCAGTTTTTTTACCTTTTATCACTGGTACTGCCAGCATATTCTTGTACACATACTCATAATAACCTAAAAATATCACAAATCAATAATCAACTAACAATATCATTAATTATGATAATTTTTTCCAACTAACCTAATGTTATTAATACATCACGTTCTGCTTCTTCTCTAGTTGCATACGCATTATGACCCTCTTGCCACAAAAACTCTCTTGTTCTCAAGAAGGGTTGAGGGTGTTTGAATTCCCACCTCTAAAATAAATAAATAAGTTGAAAACAGAAATTCTCCCTAACATTTTATAAATTAAATGGAAACAAATAATGCACCACAACGCTGTTCCATTGATTGAGTTTCAATGGCAAGTCTCTGTACGACTGAATCCATTTCGCAAAAGCTGGATACATCCCAGTCTCACTGGTTGGTCTAATAGCAATAGGTTCAGCTAAATCTGTTTCACCAGATTTGGTAACCCAAGCTACCTATTAAGACATAAATTTCATTAGATCAGTCAAAATGTATCTTATTTCATGTACTATGTAGTTGGAATTTTACCTCTGGTGCAAAATCTGCAATATGTTCTTTTTCTCTTTCTAATGCTCCTTGTGATACAAACATTGGGAAATAACAATTCCGTATATTAAGAGGCTTTCTCTTAATCCGTGCATCGAACCATTCTTGTATTAATTCCCATATTCTGTAAGCCCAAGGCCTGAGTACGTAACATCCACTTACATCATAATATTCAATCATTTCGCCTTTAACCAACACTTGAGAATACCATTCTCCAAGATTTTCGGATACCTTTAGTACTTCCAACCCTAATTTTGTTACTTTTTTAGTGTTTGTACTATCGGACGTTTTAGTAGTGGCCACAGCAATACTCTCTTTTTTCTTTGATTTTTTATCCTAAAAAGTTTCATATTTCATGTTCAAATTATAAAATATATTTTATAAATTGTGTTTTTTTGAAGAATTAAATGTATCATACTACACAAATTCAATTAAGGTTAATATATTTCTTCATTTTTATTTATTTATTGTTTTTTATTTTTCTATTATCTATTCATTAAATTATTTATTTATTTTGTTAATCTGAGTTTGAATTAATTTAATAAAATAAATAATAATTCTCCTTATGCAATTTGTTATTTTTTTTTTTAAACTAAACTTAAGAATTAGAATTGGACATTTAACTAACAATTTACAGATTTAAACTAGACTATAATTTGATCAAACTTTTTGTTATTTTTTCTTTTATACGACAATCAGAAACTATATACATACTTTTGAAGTGTTATTGTTTTTCGTCAACATTGTTTTTTCACCTTGTTCATTTATATGCCGTACTACTGCATCAGCAGAAGAAGGTTTACTTAACTCAGAGTTAGATTTATCAGCTTGTTGTGGTGTGGGAATACCACCTGCAGGGAAATCAACCCCAGCAATACTTTTATACTCTGCTTTCAAAGCAAGTAGGCCTTTGACAGCTTCCCCGATGTCTGCCTAAATTAATAAAAATAAGAATTAATATTGACTATAAAAAGGAATTGAAAAAAAAAAAAAAGTTATAAGGGTTTTAGTGATTGGGGATGCTAAAAATTGTTTACATACTTTAGAAGCTTTACTGTTTTTCATTGATCGCACTTTATCTCCTTGTTCGTTAATTTTCACAACTATTGAATCAACAGAAGGTTTACTTTGATCAGAATTAGTGTTACTGACTAGCTGTGGTGTGGGAATACCACCTGTAGGAAAATCAACCCCAGCAATACTTTTATACTCTGCTTTCAAAGCGAGTAAGACTTTGACTGCTTCTCCAATGTCTGCCTAAATCAATAAAAATTGGAATTAAAATTGACTATGATAAGGAATTGAAAAAAAAAATTCTAGTTATAAGGCTTTTAGTGATTGGGGATGCTAAAAATTGATTACATACTTTAGAAGCTTTATTGTTTTTCATTGATCGCACTTTATCTCCTTGTTCGTTAATTTTCACAACTATTGAATCAACAGAAGGTTTACTTTGATCAGAATTAGTGTTACTGACTAGCTGTGGTGTGGGAATACCACCTGTAGGAAAATCAACCCCAGCAATACTTTTATACTCTGCTTTCAAAGCGAGTAAGACTTTGACTGCTTCTCCAATGTCTGCCTAAATCAATAAAAATTGGAATTAAAATTGACTATGATAAGGAATTGAAAAAAAAATTCTAGTTATAAGGCTTTTAGTGATTGGGGATGCTAAAAATTGATTACATACTTTAGAAGCTTTATTGTTTTTCATTGATCGCACTTTATCTCCTTGTTCGTTAATTTTCACAACTATTGAATCAACAGAAGGTTTACTTTGATCAGAATTAGTGTTACTGACTAGCTGTGGTGTGGGAATACCACCTGTAGGAAAATCAACCCCAGCAATACTTTTATACTCTGCTTTCAAAGCGAGTAAGACTTTGACTGCTTCTCCAATGTCTGCCTATATCAATAAAAATTGGAATTAAAATTGATTATGATAAGGAATTGAAAAAAAAAAATCTAGTTATAAGGCTTTTAGTGATTGGGGATGCTAAAAATTGATTACATACTTTAGAAGCTTTATTGTTTTTCATTGATCGCACTTTATCTCCTTGTTCGTTAATTTTCACAACTATTGAATCAACAGAAGGTTTACTTTGATCAGAATTAGTGTTACTGACTAGCTTTGGTGTGGGAATACCACCTACAGGAAAATCAACCCCAGCAATACTTTTATACTCTGCTTTCAAAGCAAGTAAGACTTTGACAGCTTCCCCAATGTCTGCCTAAATCAATACAAATCAGAATTAAAATTAAAATTGACATGAAATATTTTTTTTTTTTAATTTAATCCTGTTTATAATAGCCATTTTAATATAGGGAATGTTAAAAAATATTACATACCTTAGAAGCTTTACTATTTTTCAATGATCGCACTATGTCTCCTTGTTCATTAATTTTTAAGACTATTGCATCTGCAGATTGATTACTTTGTCCAGAAATAGAGTTACTAACTGTCTGTGGTGTGGAAATTCCTGTAGCAGGAAAGTCAACCCCTGTGCAAATCTTATATTCTGCTTTTAATGCATGTAAGACTTTTCCAGCTTCTTCTAAGTCAGCCTATAGTTTAAAATATGTATCATTAGGACATTATTTATAGTTTTTATTTATTATAACTTGATTTAAAACTATGAACTTATAAATAAAGCCAGGACTTTCGTGGTTTTGAATATTTTTTATGGTTGATTATATTATATGCGTAGAAAGTACAAAATAAAATTCACGGCATTTGTGATCAAAACCTAAACATTTTTAGTGCATTTCGACAACTTTTGGTATAAATTTCATATTTTTTTAATTTAATTGAACATTTTTATATTTTATTACATATATAGAATATTTATAAACACCTCAAATAAATAGTTAATATTATAAATTGAACGCTACAATATTCTTATTATTATTTGGTTAAGGTTTTTTTAAACTCATATTTATATGCATAAGTGAATATTTTAAGAAATGTTAGTACATTAAGTTCTTGCTCTACATGTGAGTATAAAAATAAATGTATGAATAGATACATCAACATTACATAACTTAAAGAACATGTTTGTTAATAGAAAATTTTAATAAAAAAAAATTCATCATACCGTCATAACGTGTATTTTATTAGCTTGATCATTTATCTGGCTGATTACAGAGTCAATGTTCTTGTTTGTATTTTTCTGTAATAAAAGCAAAAATTCAATAATTTTCTAAAATGGTTGTACTGATTTATTTTTAATTAAGACTTCAGTGTATAATTTAAAAAAATGAGCATGACAAAATCATTGGTGAAATATTATTGTAAGTTACTTTAAAAAAATGTTTATAAGGTGAGCTTGGTCATTAAAACAACACTTAACATATTTCATTCAATAAATGTTGACGGATGAACAGTTTTCCAAACTCCCAGTAAAATACTTAAAAAATTTTTAAAAAACTTGTACGAGTAACAGAAATATAAAACAAATTGAACAAATAAAAAATTAATAGAGATTCATATATTTGGATGACAAAAATATAATTTTGAACAACAAAGAAAACTATGTTTATGCATAAAATGTCAAAAATTCATCATGTAAATCAAAAACAATGGTAAACTGATGATTACTAACTATGATTTTTGAAGTTTTTTTTTTATTTATATAGGCATAATTAGTTTTGATTACCTTAATATTACTTGTGGTGATTGGTAAAGGAACGGTAGTTATTGGTGTTGCTGATTTTGTGTGACCATCAGGTATGTTAAACAACACTATTGGCGTTTCTTTTCCAGTGTGAATGCTTCAAAAAATCATTTATTTTATTAAACATTTAAGACAAAAAATGTTCTATAACTAATTCTTACCTGTATGGCTGATAAGTTGAATCGCATATAAAATAACCTCTACGTTGTAACTGAATCACATCTCCCTTCTTTAAATCTTTCAACTCTGAATCACCTATCATTTGCAATTCCCAACGACTATTTTCTGTATTTAAGTATTGCTTGAAATCATCATCTTTGGCTAATACTGCTTTACTAATTAAGTGATCAAAATAAACACAAACAACTGGTACCAGAATAGGTAAGACTTCTTCAGATTCTGAATAATCGGTTTTTGGTAACCACGTAACTTTGACTGTAGATTTAAAATCTGTGTTTTCAAGATCAGACACTGCATGAATTCTCTCTATTTTATTATTATTTTGGTTCCTAAAGAAGCAAACATACAAATAATGATCTATATATGTTATTATGATTTCCTATCTATAATTATTACCTTTCTATACGGTTTATCAGGAGATTTCCCCAGTTAATAAATGTTGCTCGTCGTCCAACTTCTAATAATTCTGCATCACTATAATCTATAAGAATTGTAGGTGCGGCCCAGACACAATTCTTTAGTCCTAATTGGGAATTTTTAGGATGTTTAGGGACATTGTCAATTTTATATGGTTTTTCAACATTCTCTACAACAACTTCAACTGGTGGATAAGATAATACTACATTTTCTTTATTTGAATTGGATAATAACAAAGCAGTATGCCTTGGTGCTATTGAATCAACGATACTACGATTCAATGACCAAATTTTATCCCATTGCATAGCTGTAACAGTTCTGGAAGATCCTTGGGCCACTATGAATTGTTTCAATGCTTCCACCTGCATTCCTCTCCTGAAGACACCACGGACAGTCGGCATTCGTGGATCATCCCTTAAACGTAAAAAAAAAAAGACTATTATATGTTGTAGCAAAATTAAGAACCTTTCTGTAATTTCAATTAGTAAACTATAAAAGAAACTAATTATATACTATGTAAATTATTAAAATACATATATTTAACAATATTATACTAACCATCCATCTACGTGGCCTTGTTCCACAAACCAAGTTAACTTTCTTTTCGACAGAACAGTATTAGTCATATTTAATCTTGAATATGACCACACATAAGGTCTGGTTTCATTGCTGCGAGTACCAAGCTTTAATGCATCACAAAACCAATAATATTGAGCATCACGATCAGTATACTCTGTGGTGCGTAAACAATGAGTAACACCTTCAAAACTATCCACAATAGGACAAGCAAAGTCATAAGTTGGATATACCCTAAAATAACATAAATAATAATTATTCAAATGTATGTAATTCATACATAAACAACATATTAATAAATAAATAAATAAAACATAAATACTATTTTTTTAATTTTTTATAAGAATTTCAAATATATATATTACATTTACAATTTTTTTTTTTTTGGTTTTACTGATTTTAATTATAATTATAATAATTTATTTTTTTGCAACAGATTTTACATCAAATTTTACAAATGAAAATACAATATTGCAGCACCCTTGGTAAGCAAAGCTTGTGCTGGAGGAGGAGTTCTTAAGAATATAAAATAGACCAATATAATGTAATAAATTTGACATTAATAAAATAAATAGTATGTATACTCAAAATGTAGGAATATAGCGGAATTTTTGATTTTAAAGTATCATATTAATTAACAGAAATAAACTAATGTAAATTTAATACATGTAGTAAAGAATATAGTTAAGAATTAATTTAAACATTTTAGAAAATATTATAAAAATGACATAAAATAAATTAACTTTAAGTACAAGGTAAATCTAAATATTTAATATGTTTCTTAAAAATAAATAAATTACTAAAATTATTCATATTCATATTAAAAGTTAAACATAATTTCAGACTTATATAAAATACACTATTTTGTCCAAAAACTTTTACACAATTTGGTAAATGTATATTAATATCATGTTTAAATCTAGTTTTGTTTTCATGAACAAAAATAGTAATTGAGTGTTTATATTTATATAGCTGGATTAAAACAAAAAAATTATGAATAAATTTCAGATTTTTCACATTTAGTTCCTTAAATATTATTGTTGTACAAGTTAATATAGATAGATTTAATGAAAATTGTATGATACAATTTATAATAATATTATGTTTATTTAAATTACTATAAAAAGTGCCTCCCCAAAGAGATATACCACGTGAATAAAAAGATTGAACCAAAGTTCAATATATATTTCTGTTATAGGAATTATTAAATAGATGTCTATCTACTTCGAAAATTAGAAAAATTTGTATAATTTATTATTTTTTGAAATAATTTGCTTATCCCATTTTAATTATTTATAATCTAAAACTAATCCAAGATATTTTATTTCTTGTACTTCTTCAATATCAATACAATTTGAAGGGGATAAACAATTAAAATTGGTTATACATTTCAATGAATGGACAGTTAAATTGTAATGTATAAGAATACTAGATGAATTTATTTTGAAAACAAATAAATTTGGATTTAGATAAATTCAATTTTAATTTATTTTTACAGAACCAAGAATACACATTATTTAGGAATTTATTTGATTCATTAAATAAATTATCAATTGATTTTTCAGCAACTAATATAGTTGTGTCATCAACAAAACTGAATAATTCAATATTAGTAATATTTTGTATTTTTAAAAGATTATTTATAAAAATAATGAATAAAAGAGGACCAAGTACTGCACCTTGGAGAACAACCACAAGTTATATTAAGTTATATTATTCACTTAGGGTATCATCTATTTTAACTCTGAGTTCTTTCACTTAAAAATGATTTTATAAGATCTTTTCGCATTCCTCTAATGCCAGATTGATCCAATTTATTTAATAATATCTTATGATCTTATGATTATTGAATAGATAACATTGATTCTATAAAATAATATGTTATAATGTCCTTACTTATACTTATCACCAGTTCTAGGATGGGATTCAGGCTTGCAACGATATATTGTTGGATCTCGCAAACATCATTGCAGATTGCATATCAATTTTAGCCCGAACACAACACTTAAGACCAATTTCTGTACCTAAAACCATTTGTTTCCACAATTCTAGGTTCTTCTCAATTGCTGAAATGTGAGTAAATTAATATTAAAAATTGCATAACATAGGCTGAATCCAAACAATACGAGCGTAATAACAAACTTTCTGATAAAGTTGGACTATTTATTATATTATTTAGATAATTAAATTAATAGCCAAGACTTTTAGAATTGGCGTGCACAGATTTTTATGTGGCTAATTTAGCTACTTGTTTTTACTACCCACTCCTTCACACTGTTCCAACTTTTTACAATCATAAATAAAACAAAACTAAACGGAAAGTAATAATGTATTTTAATTTGATGTAATTTCCGAATTTCAGCAGTATAGTAGCAGTTTTAGAAAATGATTAAGAGACTTTTTTTGCCCAATTTTTGGTAGTATATAGGTACTCAAAAAAAAAAAAAATCCAGGTGTGGGTATATCCTACAAGTCACTTCAGTGTGTACGCCTGTGATATTTAGTCAATGCTATTGTTTATAATAACCAAGACATTAACTTTAATTCAAAACTTTGTAAGGTACGTAATTATAAATATTTAAGTTCTTTACATTTTTAATAATTTTTAAATAGAGTTAAATCATAAGACTTACAGTTGTTTCGATTTATTGAATCTATTCTTTGCTCGCGTTCCAAACGTATTTTATCTCCATCCGTGTCATCCACGTAAGCTAAGCCTTCTTTCAACATTCCATTCTCACATATATCTAACATTTTATCAAAATGATCAGAAGTATATGTAAAAATATCGGGTTTAATTTTTAACATATCAACGTCTTCTAATATAACCTAGAAAAATAATTAAGATTAAATCTCATAACTCATTACTTAGTACTTTTATGGTTTTTATTTTAATATTTGTTTTAAAATAGACAAATTAGTTAAAATAAGATGAAGATATTGAATTTGTTACACAATGTATATTTTCTTATACCTTCTCAAAATCTTCCTTCTCCTTTGCTGGATTTGTATCATCAAAACGCATTATAAGACGGCCATTAAAAGCCAATTGATAGTGTTGATTTAATAGAGCAGCTTTTGCATGCCCAATATGCAAATATCTGAAAACAATGTATTATTAATATTAAATTAACTATAAAGCATTTAATATGAAAATATACAAAACACATAAGCACTAACCCGCTTGCTTCTGGAGGAAATCTAACAACAACCTTTCCCATTTCAGCTCCCGGTAATTCCACAAACTTTCCTTGTTGTTTACTATTGTCTTCAACAGACTTTTGCTGTTTTGGAGCTTTTTCATTTTTTTTAGTTTCCGTTTTCTTACTTTTGAGGACAGAAGTAGAACCTATTTAATTATCAATATATTATTAATTAAGACCTATACTGTTAGACTTTAACAACTTATTTACCTTTTATTTTTAATTTTTATTTAAATACTTAAAATTTAAGAATTATAATATGGACCATTTTTTTATGAAGTTAAGACATAAGTATCTACAATAAAATTTAAAAATTACTACAATACAATATTACAATTTATGTATTATAGATATTGAATAGAGGTATCTATCATTGTAATAAATTCATAATTAGTAAATATATATTAATTATTATTACCACAAAGAAATAAATACATTTATGAACTAAAGAAATATATTATCAAATTATTAGGCCATAGAACTAACTTACTATAACAACATTCTAAGCTATTTACTGAAACGAGCTTTCTTCAAATAATTTTTTTTTTTAATTAGTTAATTAATAATACAATTACCAAAAACCAAAAACATAAATTGATTTAAATTGACATTGGGCAAATGCAATTTACAAATGTTATAGACAGGTTAGGTATTATTTTAATAGACACTGTGTAATTATATCACAAAATATAAAAACAAATTATGTGCTTGGAGGCTAGAGCTGTCATAAAATTATTTAAGGAAACTCTTTTCATTTTATTTTTGATAGCAAGTTGTGATTTTAATAGTTTTGATTATTTTTCAAGTGTTTGAAATTGTAATTCTTCTATGAAAGGTTTTTTTATTATAAGTCATTGAAATTATAATGTTTAATGAAGCCAAAGGTTTGTCTGCCTAACCTGATTGGTAGCGAAGTAACCACTAACATAGTAATACACTAATAAATTATTCATCAGTAAATAGATACTAGAAAAATTTGTTTCAGATATTTTTATTTATATAAACACAAATAAAAAAAACATACAGTTTTGTAGTCAGATAAATAATCACAAAAATTTAAATGCCTAATATATTATGCCATAATAACTGCATTAAATACCAAAACTTACCTTGTTTTTTTTGCATTTGTATTTTGCAAGTCTGGAGCAGCCAACTATAACAAATAAAAAAAAAAAACAGATAAATCATTATTATCCGTTTTTATTTGTGTATAATGTAATCAATTGGATACAGATGACATCTTTCCAACGGACAAAACAATTACAGTACTCTCGGTAATCCAGTCCAGTAATCTGGCTATTTTTTTTTTTACTCTACTAATAATCATAAATTTACTATCAAGAATAATAAAACTAATGGATTTAATTTTGAAATTTACCGATTAGCATTTAGTTATATTCCGATAACGTTGACATTGTAGTAAGCCAGCTACTACGGCACGTAATACCAATTTCAAAATTACATAGTTATTATTATAATATACGATGAATCGGGATTCAGAATTAGGCGTAGTAACATTTGACAGTAACAATAAAACCAGATTCCACAGATGCATAAATATTATAATAGACGGTTAGACCGAGCATAGTCGGGCATTAAGAAGGAAATGGGTCCTTCTAACCTATGCTACAGGCTCACTGAATAACTCAGGATGATAGGGTCAAAATAGGCGGTCGTCATATTTGACAGAAATACTGGACGCATACGATGAAATTAAAATATTGAAGAGTAAAGTGACTAATCATAAATTGGTAATACATTCAATCAGTTATATATTCAATCGTCAATGCGTGGGCTAGAATGATGACCATACGAGTGACATCCGTGAGATATCGTATATGTAGGCAAGGGGTACGGGGAACCTCATATCTAAGGGAGCCCGAATCGGCCTGTTTTCAGAAGTGTACTACCACCCATTAGAGCAAGCACCTTCACGTCACTTTGTACAATATTATTTTGGACTAGCAAATTATCGAACGTTATAAGTAAAATTCACAATACGCAACCTCTGTTCTATATTTCATTTATATCTACACGACTTCAGCATCAAATAAAGTGTATGCGACCTGCACTTATAACATCTTGGTAGCCACTTATCTACTGTCAGCACTACGATAGTAGGTACCAAGCCACCAGATCGTTACAACATGTATATGTGTATCGGTAGTTATTGTGTTGTATTATAGTACTTGTTCATTTAAAATGTTGATGGGATTTAGGTTTTGCAATAAGTAAAAATGCTTTTATTTATGAACCTAGAATAATCCAGCGTTTTCGTTATCTGCCGGATTACCGAGATTTTACTGTACATATCAATTGGTAACTGTTATTTCAATATCCCGATGAACAACACTTTTAGATTTCATCATGGTACAGCTAGTACCTACATAACCTGTCTATTGCACATATTACATACATTGTCCACATCACAATTAATATATTACTTTTTCCGGATAATATGTTTAATTATTTAAAAATGTTTAAAAATATGTATTATTAAATGCAGTTCGTCTTACCTGCTGCTCCAGACCAGCCAGATCTTTTTCAGGAGCGTTACTCATGTTCAATCGACCAATACGAACGAGAAATCACAAGAAACGAGAATACCACGAGAGGGATATTACGCTTCTCTAAATCAGCAAAAGCGGAAAAAATAGAAAGCAATATTGAAAGTAATGAAAATAAAAATGTCAAATTGCCATTACAGCATGTTAATGTTAATTACTTAAAAAGTTATTATTGATAACAGCGACGCGTCGACGCACAAACTTATTATGCACGTCGTCATGAAGTACTACGTACACACTACAAATCGTGTGCGGTTTACCGTGTGGCAAAGGTGGTGCACAACTTCTACGTACTACTACTGCTACGACATTACTTATACTACTCCGATATTTTATTAAACCACTACCGATAGAGAGTACCGTCTATGCTACTATTCACGGTATAGCGGGATCGATTCCAGTCTAGGAACAGAATTTTTTTGCTTTTTTTTTTTTTCGTTTTTATGTCTTCGAGGACGACCGTATACCCAACAATCTATTATATTATTAAAAATATTAACTATTATTATATTTATTATCCTAGCTAAATCAAACGCTGACTCCTAGAACCGCACACTTGCAATAAGATACAGGACAGAACCGCACACTTTTGATAAGTTAAATCCCACAGATTTTAAAATTATTGTATCCAAAAACAGCACACTTATGATTTTGACCCCAAAAAGGTCTTTCCTATAATACTGTATAATGTATATGTGTACATATAATTTATAATTTATTATTTATTCAAACCAAAAAAGTATACTTTCAAATTTAAAAAAGGTGGGTAAGTGGGTGTCGCTCTGCTGTACAGTAGGTTACAAGTGGGTCACTGTATAATGGATGGTATTACATTTGAATTCAATGATATTATATCATTGTATAAGAAAAACGATTCTGAGCGGAGACGGTATGTCCTTATCTAGGTACAAGCATAGGCGGACATAGGGGGGTGCTTGGGGGGTGCTTGGGGGTGCTTAGCACCCCCCAGCTTCAAACTAGCACCCTCAGTTTATTTCAGTATTTCACCAATCATTTATAAACTATCGTGGTTTATTGGTTCGGAATTTTGCTTTTCATTACAAATATTGACAACTGTTTACGAATTCACGAATTCATTTTTTTTTTTTTTGTCTGTCATCATCTTTTAGGACAGTAAAAGTGCTTGGATTTTCTTCAACAATATCTTTTCTGATAGGAAAGTGAATCTTGTTGGTACTTTGGGGGGGTCAAAAGCAAACATTTCACAGTAGTTTTCAAAAGCGCCGTGAAAAACAAAAGAAAAATTAAGGAAAACCGGGAATTATTACGCAAAATCTGTTTTCGAGAAAATTGATTTTGGTTTTTGGTGTAACTTTAAAACAAATGACCGTAGATATATGAAATTTTCACTGGTTATTTATATTTCCATTTTCTATACATGATAAAATTTTCTAAATATTTTGAGTTATTTTGAGCTTTTTACGGACATTTTTAGTTTCCATTTTTTTTAGTTTTTTTTTCTATAAGTATCAATAAAATTTTATTTGTTGGGTATAAAAGCTTAAACATTTAATAGAAGGCTTCTAATATATTGTTTCAAAGACAGATGAAAAATATTAAAAATCCTTACTCACAGTTTTTTGTTTTAAGCATTTAAATTCCAAATATTAACAAAATACTACAAAATGACCAAAATTTGCAAATTATTTCGAGTTAGAAATTCATAAAAATTTTTCTTTTTAAATCTAAGATATGAAAATGTAATGCAAGATTCCTCATAAGTTTGTTTACCTTTATCAAAAAAAAAATGTCTACAAGAATCTCAAATCAAATTTTTATCAACGTTTGAAATTCATATTTTTACAACATTTGATATTCACTCGGTTTCTCATGTAACGATTTTCTAATTTTGTTGTAATTAAAAAACGAATGACTGTAGATACTTGAAAATTTTACTAAATTTTTATATTAGCATTTCCTATACACCATATAGTTTTGAAAATATTTTGATTCTTTTTGAGCTATTTACCGACATTTTCAGTTTTCAATTTTTTTAATTTTTTTTTCTATTCATATCAATAAAATTTTATTTGTATGGTAAAAAAGCTTGAAAATTCAATGCAAAGCTCCTGATATATTGTTACATTAACACTTGAAAAATATTAAAAATACATAGGCACAATTTTTTTTTATAATTATTTAAAATTCAAATTTTGACAAAATTTATCACATTTAAAATTTAATAATAATTTTATAGTTAAAAATTTATAAAATGTTCAAATTTTATAGCTAATGATTGAAAATTTAAAACAAGATTCTACTTAAATAGGTTATATATAAATTGCTTTATTCACCTTAGTATCATCAAATATACTTAGTAATATCATAGGCTGACTTAACCGTCTTCGCTCAGAATCGTTTTTCTTATACAATGATGTTAGTATATCATTGAATTCAAATTGAATACCATCGATTATACAGTGACCCACTTGTACCCTACTGTACAGCAGAGCACCTTTTTTTGTTTATCAAACTTAAATAAAAATAATAATTTTGGTTTTGATATCGGTTACAGAGTAAATTTTCTCATTTTTCTAGTGTGAACATTTAGTTTTTTAGCTTAGAGTAGAGCCTGAATGTTTTTTATACCCGTGCAAAACAGTTTTGCCTATGTTGTACCTATACGTCTGTAATACGAAGACAACACATGTGGGTGTACCTAGCGTCTTGATTACAATCATACAGACTATTTGATACATTGCACTTTAGAAATTATTGTATACACTGTACAAATTAAATCTAATGCAATGCAGAAATATTAGGATTAGGGGGGTGTGGGGGGCTTTGCCCCCCACGGATCTGTGAACCATAAATTATCCCAGCACCCCCTAAATTAACACCCTATGTGCGCCTATGGGTACAAGACATATTACAATATTACATACTTATCTATGGTATTAAAAAAAATTGACCTATTATAATGAATTCCAAATTAATCATATCATAATATCCATTAGGTAATTAAAACGCGTTATACACCAACAAAAAACCCTGATACTATCGTAGATATATACTTTAGAAATTTCAAGTGCCTACGAATAATATTATACAATCACAACAAAATAACTAAAATGGTTATTCTAGGTTTTTTATTATGTAATTTCGTCCAAATTTGAATTTAAAATGTCTGTAAAAAATAACTGTGTTCATATATTTTTTAGATTTTTTGGTTACAGTATGAACTATTTATGAGAACCTTTGTTTTAAATTTGTAATAATTAGCTATAAAAACTGAACATTTTATAATTTATTAATTACAATGATTGATAATTTTCGATTAATTTTGATAAATTTTGTCAAAATTCGATCTTTAAATGCTTATAAAAAAATTGTGTATTTGTATTTTTAATATTTTTCAATCGCTATTGTAACAATATATCAGGAGCCTTGTATTAAATTTTTACACTTTTTGGCCCAACAGATAAAACTTTATTGATATTTAAAGAAAAAAAACTAAAAAAATTGAAAACTGAAAATGTCCGTAAACAGCTCAAAAAGAGTCAAAATATTTTCAAAATTGTATGGTTTATAGAAAATGCTAATTTAAACATTCAGTGAAATTTTCATGTAACTACAGGTATTCGTTTTTGAATCACAACAAAATAAGGAAATCGCTACATGAGAAATCGAGTGAATATCCAATGTTGTAAAAATTTGAATTTCAAACACTCATAAAAATTTAATTTGACTTTCTTATAGACATTTTTTTTTTGATAAAGGTAGATAATCTTATAAGGAATCTTGTATTACATTTTCAAATCTTAGATTTAAAAAGAAAAATTTTTACGAATTCTTAACTCAAAATAATTTGCTAATTTTCGTGATTTTTCCATATTTTGTCAATATTTGAACTTTAAATGCTTATAAAAAAAAATTGTGACTAAGGATTTTTAATATTTTTCATCTGCCTTTGAAACAATATATTAGGAGCCTTCTATTAAAATTTCAAGCTTTCGCAACCAACAAATAAAATTTTATTGCTATTTTTAGAAAAAAAACTAAAAAAAAATGGAAAATGAAAATGTCCCTAAACAGTTCAAAATAAATCAAAATATTTTGAAAATGTTATCGTGTATAGAAAATGCAAATATAAACAACCAGTGAAAATTTCATGTATATACGTTCATTTGTTTTAGAGTTACACCAAAAACCAAAATCGATTTTTTGGAAAACCAATTTTGCGTAAAAATTCCCGTTTTTCCTTAATTTTTATGTTGTTTTTTCCCGGCGCTTGTGAAAACTACTGTGAAATTTTTACTTTTGACCCCTTAAAGGACGATAAGATTCACTTTCCTATCAGAAAAGCTACTGTTGAAGAGAATCCAAGCACTTTTACTGTCCTAAGACGTGATGACAGACAAAAAAAAAAAATAATAAAAAAAAACACACACATTATTGTAAAATCAATACATTCATCGTTTCACTCAGAATCTAAAACTAAAAATATGACTATTATGTATTTATTATTTTACTAACAAGTTTTTGTTTTTCAATTGTATAGACAATATTTACACTTCCATATGAGTTATGAGACTTACGTTTTAACCCAGTGGAGTAAATTGGGCTCATTTTCTGGTGGTGCAGAGAAATATTTTATTTCGATACCCACTACCCACCAGTGGCGTATATAGGAACTATTTTTGAGGTGGGCTATAGTAGATAGAAACTAGCAAGTAATCTATTACTTAGAGGTTACTGTCTACTGTTTACTAAGCCCACGGTCTATAATATACGCCACTCACTGCCACTGCTACCCACTATAATACTCCGAATTCCTTGTAAAATGTTTACCTAGTGTCCTAATGACCAATTTTACCTAATAATTAGTATATACAAAATATAAGAAAATATTGTTATTTTTCAAATAACGTTTGTTAAAAGAAAAAATGTAGAAATTGTATTCATTGGTGTAATGTTTAATTAATTAATATAAGTACATCCGTACATCATCTTTGCTATAAGCCTATAAAAGT